ATCTTTCTCATTCTCCTCCATTCCATGATTCTCCAATGCATCCGCCCCATTACCATTCTGCTCCCTCTGCACCGTCTTCCCCTTACTCTCCCCAGCTGGCTTACTCTCCACCTTCTCCGTATCACTCTTCGCCAGCTCCGTCCCCGACTCCTCCACCGGCTTATCCTTTCCCCGCTTAGCCTTTGCCCGCCGGATCAACCGATTGTGATAATCACGGCCCTCGGCCTCAGGGTCTTCCTCGACGATGCGTCTGGCTGCCTCGCGTCCAATGACTGGCAAGCGGTCTACGCCCTGTGGTGCTCCCTCTGGTATGTACTTCGGATCCAGCAGTCCGACCTGCACCAATACACTGGCTTGATCCCAGTACATGTGTTCTGAGTACAGCCTTCCCCCGCGCAGACTAACAATGCTGACTAGGACTATTTCCACGTGACGATTCGTCGGCGGAACACCAGGTAGCATCCAGGGTATCTCCTGGGTATGTTCAAACGTCGCATATAGCTCATCAACAATACGATCCGCCCCAACAGTCCGAGAAATCAACCGCAGACGCATAGACGGAGGCAACTTGCGCAGGAAGTTCTGCTCGTAGAAGCGACGCAGCGCATGGGTTCCGATACCACCGCTCATGGTTGGTGTACAAGTGAGTGTCGGGTTGAGGTGACCGACATAGGGCTCCATTGTACCAGTAAGGTTCATGGAGAAGAAGCGCGCTGATATAATTAGCATCTGATGCCCGACATATACATGGTATAAAGGTATGCTCACCCTCAAGCTGTTCCTCCCACCTATTCTCCAAATCCAAATCCTTGCCAAACGCCTTCCTCAGCACCTGCAGCGTACGACTAAACGCCAAATCCGACGCCAACCGATCAAACTCCTCCAGATCATGCTCCGCAAACCCCGGCTGCGCCGACTCATACGTAAACGCCGGCCACCCGATCTGCAGCCTCTCTCCCGTCCCGATACCGGGGGTGATCTGCTTCGTCGAGCGATGTTTCTTCCCTTGCAATCCAATAACCGTAGGGATGGTCACCACGTCCACTGTATCTCCAGCAAGATGCGTCAACACGCGCACCGAAAAGGGGAATCGCGATCGCGTATCGGGGACCGTAGTGGGGTAGTATGCAATGAGAGCGGCCAGACGGCTGCAGTTTGTTGATTTGAGGTAGTAGTCGAGGCAGTAGGAAGCGGCGTCACCGAATGCTACCACCCATCATGTTAGTATATAACCAACGCCCATTTCTAATCCATGGGTGTATTTACCAATAACAGCATAATTATCCCCCACGCCCAACCCCTCCTTCACGGACTTCAACCGTGCTTCGTACTCCTTCCCCCCATTGTTGTACGGCGCATAGACGACATCGAAGCCCTCGTCTGCCCAGGCGCGCAGCGTCTCGGTATCGAAGTCGGGGGTCTCGGCGGAGATGCATACGCGGGCGGTGCCTAGGTTGGCGTTGTTGTAGATGAAGCCGGTTGCGCCGGGGGCGTTGATGGATATGGAGGCCATGATGGAGTGATGCTTTAGCAGCTATGTATATTAAGAATTAGGAATGTACACAAAAGAAAAGAATGAGGATGAAGCGTAAGAGTAAGTAAGTACTAGTAGAGTAGAAGTGTATGGTTGGTGTGGAGCGCGGGCCGCCGGATGGCTACGTCATGATGACGACGCCGGCAGGGCAGGAACGGAGCAGGTATTTGGAGGTGCAGATTATACTTGTGGCTACTTATTCTTATGACATGGAATATTAAGATTACACAAGTACTACAGTATTATGGGTGTGAATCCATCTGATCAATAGGATGATGGGGACATCTGACGTGGATTGATCTGGTCAGGCGGTTGTGTCTGCCGCTTGCCAAGAGTGGTGAGATACTGTACATACTTGAAACCTACAACGAAGAAGTTGTGGAAGATGAAAGAGGAATTAAGCAAGCAAAAAGAAAGTAAAGAGAGCGAAATTATTGTATTGCAAGAAAATTTTATTGCTATAGTTACTCTTTTCATGGCAATGAAAGCGATAGTATGTCATCCTACATGCCATCAAGGCAGCAGAAATATACTGACGGATCCAAACCTTAATCGAACCATGCTTCCCCATCGTATGATCCTCTAGTCAAAGTAGTTCGCAGTTCAATCCGTGGAGCAGGCTGTACTTTTGTGCTTTTCATTATAATAGGCTATTAGTATCGTACCCGCTATGAACACAATCTACCGCTATACGCCGCTGCAAGCTCATGGAAGAATAAGCATGCGCCATGTACACCGTGCACCATACGCCACTGTGTATCCATCAGGAACTATGAGACATAGACGTATTAACAACCCTGCAATCAATCTTCGTAGTCTTCTTCCTCACTCTCCTCCCGAATCAACCGCTGTCGTTCTTCATCCTCCTCCAGTTCTTGCTCCCGTGCCCGCAGCCGCCGCCCGGCCACATACACAAACGATACCAGCGCAGTTCCCACCACAAAGCCAGCTACGGCGAAGAAACTGTTGATCGGAATGGGATTCCCGTCAAAGGGGCCATGAGTCAACGCATCCAACCCATACTGGGCAAAGTTGACCATTCCCGACACGCAGATGATGGTCCCATAGACTCGGCCAAAAGTGGCAAATCCGAATACCTTCGTTGCGTAGTCACTAATTGAAACAGTAAGCAGTTATTCAGTATAAAATTGGCTGGGTGTACTTACGACATGGCCGAGTAGTAGAGTGGTCGCAGCAAAACAAACAACGTGACAGTCACATATCCGGTCCAGAGGACGGGTATGGAGTTAAGGATACCAATCACCGTCGTCAGAACCACAATTATAGCCAGTACAGCGGGTACACTGACGTGATCAAGCAGGAGCCCCACGAATGGCGTGGAAATAATACCGCCCACAGGCAAAGCAACATCGAAGAAGCTGTTGATCTGAACAGCTAGTTCATCCGAGTCGAGCATATACGCGTACTGAGCGCGAATGGTGGCAATGAAGTAGTTCATCCGCAACATCTGCAAGACCGTCATCAAGGTAATCAAGATGAACCACGGCGTGGCCATCTGCTTGTGGGCAGGCTGACCGTGGAGCGCCCCCCAGACGGCGCTTGCAGCATGGCGATCCTCTTCTCGTTGCTCCCGTTCTTTCCGCTCGTCTTCGTCGCCCAGTACCTTGGCAATTTTGCGCATCTTGTTTCGACGCCGCTCAGCGCGCTCACTCCGGACACGTCGTAGCTCCGTGTCGCTCTCGATGTCGTCGTCCGAGTCATGGATATCACGGGTAGCATCTTCCGCCTTTTCAATTTTCACTTCGAGTTCATGCGTTCCCTGGTAGTCACGAGACGGCATGAGAGTAATCAATGCAACTAGGATGAGGCCAGGTACGATAGTATAGCCCAAGAAGAACTTTCCAGGGTCAAACGATCCACCAGTCGTCTCATAGACAATACGATAAAACAGGTACACTGCTGCAGAGGCATCGAAAGCGCCAGTAACCAGAGCAACGATCGTACCTGCATACTTGGGAAATGCGTTCGCGATCTGGAAAGAAGGTACAAAGATAAATGTACCTCCCAGTGCGAGGAAGAAATTCCCCGCCACATAGCCATCGAACTGTGGCTGGGAGAAGGAGTATGCCATCAGCGAGCTACCCAGCGCAAGGAGCAGGCAGCCCGCAAAGCCACATATACGTGATCCATAGCGATCGAGGATAGTGCCGACCGGAAGGGCAGACACATTGGCTGTGATGGAGCCGATGGTAAAGAATAGGTTCAACCTGCAAAAGTCAATACTAGCTCAGCTGGATCAGACTTAAGAGACCCACCTTAGATCTTGTTCGGAGCAAACTTCTACCCCCTCGCGTAATTCGTCCGCTGTACACAGATCTCGATAGACACCTTCTGCGACTAAAACCGGCTTCAAGGCAGCAAAACCGAAGACCACGCCTGCCGCGAACCAACACGCCAGTATAGTAACGATAACCTGGGCTAGAACGAGTCAGAAGGATCCTGCTTATTTAAATAAACTCAATTGACTTACCCAGTCGCTTTGCCGTTGAAACCTTGTAGGCAGGGGTTCCAGCTACCTCGACCGGGGCGGGTGGAGGCTGGAGGATGTCGTAGCTGATCTTGCGATGGATCGCAGTCAATGGCTCACCCGTCACGGCGGTCGCAATGGTGCTATCATCCTGCGGTTCAGGCTCTCGATCTACACCTTCGATGGCAGAAACGTGCTGCACCAAAGACATTGATACGCCTGTGGTTCAAGGATTGTCGCGGGAAGACACGGGTAGAAGATTCCGTGGGTGGTTGTGGATGAGGTTAAGTAAGTGGTAGTGCGGGCGCCAGTCGAAACTTCTGGATGTTACAACCCCCTTCGCCACATCCCTTACCCATGCGGGGGTGTCAAAAACCGGGTTTTGGGCACGAGAGTGCAAAATAGTGGGTCTTTTCCCCTATCTTCTGCTCTCATGCGGTGAAAGAGATCTTTGACAACGTCTGACAGGGAACTCAATGAAAATGTTGCTGGATGGGAAGGACTGGGGTGACACCTGCCTCGACCGTGGTGGTCGGCGCGGCTGCTCCACCAGCTTATCTTCTCCACTTTGCACAACTCTGCAAGATTCCGTGCACCAGAATATCGAGATGCCTTTGTGAAACAAGTATCTCTCTTTTAGTCGCTGATTCAAATATCCCTGAATCATGACGAGGGTCTCGACTCCACACCTACATCGGTCGGCAGCTAGGGATAGCTCACCTGCATTCAGCAGAGCACCTAGTCAATTTAGAGCTCAAACCAATCATTAGCTTCATCTCAACGGCTGATGATAATGATCATAGTCTGTCATCCTACTCATTGGCTCATGTCTATTTAGCCTCGCGGCATGGCGACATCGTGGCTGGAGACGCTACAGAGAGTCAAACTAACCTATAACAGGGAAACCGGACTTTCTATAAATATCGCTCGCGTGATCGTGTCTCTTATCAATCACCAAAAGAGACGCTAAATAATCCGTGCTCTGATGTACATCTGTTAGAAGCCCCCATAGATAACGTCTGCGAGAATCTGTTTTCTAAGCTAAAAATAACTACTATCAACGGGTAGATGCATCCACGTCCTCCGGAGTGTTACTGCGACACGCCAAGACAACTCCAATACCCAGAATAACATTGAGATAGCCAACCGAGCTAGCCGTCGCCCGAAACGCTCCTATAGGTGCATGCAGTTGGCGATTCACTAGTACATCGCCTCTTTACTCTTTCTCACATTGATGACAGGCCAGAGAATCCATGCCTACTACTTCTATACAACCTGATTAGGCAGCTCCGGTAGCAGAGGGGGTTTATCTTAAGTACCCTTACGAGGTAAACAGTGTATTTGCACTCGGTGCTCTCAGGCTTCCTACTTAGACACGGATAGCGGTGTTGATAGGAGAGACACAGGGAAGAATAACGAAGCCCACTCCCACTTGAACCACCAAGATATGTCTCCTGAACTAGCTCAGTCTACTTTCCGACAACCACCGCGTACAGACGTCTCCATGCAAAAGGCAAAAAGGGCACAAAAAAAATTGAACCACGGTGATAATAAGTCAAGTGAATCATCAGCAATTGCATTCATACTATGGATAACTACCGAAATTGGATACAAAGGAAACAACTTTTCGCCATTTACAGGCCAACTCATCTGGCCGTACAATCTTTAATTCGCAACATCCCCCTCTTTTCCTTAGGAGCCCGCGCCTCCTTCCATCCAAGATGACTTCCAGGAAACTTATAGAAAGCCTCAGCACTATCCCTATCAGTTGTCTGAAGCCGTGGTGGGAATTCATAACCCATCACCGACAGCGGATTCCGAGGACCAAATTGAACAGTAAAATCATCCTTGTTATCCTCGAGCTCCGGCGCGAACTCATGTCTGAATCCCAATACATGCCCGAGCTCATGTAGGAAGATATTCTTCAAATACTGCACTGTACCCGGTTGGAATGCAGAGGAATACACATTCAGATAACTGAGGTCATCCTCATTCGGGAAAAATGCCTCTGCGAGCACATCCCCCTGGTTCCCTGCATAGGACAGAACGAAGGATGCTTTCTCAATATCCTGTACCCACTGGAATTTCACGCCCAGGTCAAGCTCGTTCCAGTCATTTGCGGCGTCTCTGAGCGCATTCGCGGCGAGTAGCGCCAGACCAGGGCGCGGGTACCCGTTTTCGAATGCAGCGAAGTTAATGCTTTGGGGTGGATTGTCGGGTTTCCAGCGTGGGATAACTCCCCCAAATCCACCTTGAAGCGTGGCGCGGTTGTTGATGCCTCGGATGGTCACCGGTAGAGGCTTCTCGGATGAACAGGTATACCGTCCGGGTGCGGTTGCAGTGGAATTGGCTAGGGAGCGACGGAAATCCTGCAGTTCGGGGCTATCGACACTATCAGGGGGGAGAGTTCTCAGGCCTCCTGGGCCGACAGCCTCCTTCAAGGCTTCAAGGTAGTCGGCCTTGGAAGTTGAGGGGGTGAGGGTGGCGCCGCGGATGTCAGGCATGGTGGTTGATCTAGGGGTTGTTGGAGTTCCGCACCAGAATTTTCCTGTGTGATCCAGTTTGAATGAGTAGCAATGTATTCTGTTCAAATGAGGGTCTCGTGGGTGATGAGGACTTTATTTATATCTTACTCTTGCGTACTACTAGCTTTGCAGGAAGAATGGGAATCAAAGCGAATGCTTCCAGACACTACTGTTCAAATGAAGTCGGCACAGTCTAGACTCTATTTGCCATCGGACACCCCGATACTCTAACCTTCAATAAACAGTATGTTACTGGTCCTTTAACAGCAATTGTATAGTCGTGGGCCACAGACCGAATGCCAACCGTAACACTTTGGACGTTAAGTTCGTGGAGAAACTCAACAGTCAAGAACAGCTGACTGTAGCCCGAAAAGTGACTCCGAATAAGTGACCCAGATCTCATAGATTGGGTTTTTTTTACAAGAAGCTCATACTATCTGACTCCATTATCGAGCCGCATGCAGGACCAGTACGAGGCCAAGACTTGAAGGCCTCGCGATACTCTAACCTAACGGCGCCGCTGCTCGTATTCCAATGTCATCATGGTCTTGTCATTGCAGCCAGGCACAGAGCGGTGGATGTATCAGACGCCATTTGCATTATTCTAATTTCACCATGACCGGATGGCATGCCACATTTGACGCCTTCTCACTGGCTATCATGATGACCCGGCCTATCACTAGATACAAAGGCGTGTCTGCTGGCGGATCGCGGAGTCACTCAAAAGACCGAGACCGATTAAGCTCCCGAGCCAACCAAGCCACCTCTTGTTGCGGGAATATCTCGTATTGAGCAGGAATAGACAATTTTAAACTACTGGATCCAGTGATTAGACTTTCTTTGTATACTGATGCCGAAAGGAAACCCCGCAATCATCGCCATAAGAAGCTTGTGAATCTGGAGTTTTGGTTTTGTTGTTGTAGAAAGCCAGGTGGGAAGCCACGAATCCTCCAAAACTAGGCTTATACAATAGATTCAGCTTATTATAATCCTTGGCTCTAATGTCAGATTAAGGCTAGTTGTGCCACCTTAGCAAAATTGTAGTTCTTCTTACTGGGCCTCGGCAACTGGCTGGTGAGCATAGCTCTGATGATCCTGAAATCCAAGAATAATGACGGTAACCAGTCGCCTCCCCTGCACAACTAGACAACTCGCCAGTTGCCCGGGGCTCTCGGATCTGGCAAGCCCCATAATTTAGCACTTGTGCCGCTAGAGCTCAAGTAGTCTCGTACCTGGAGGGCTGCCCACGAATCATATCATGCGACGGCATGCACCTGCGACCTTCGCTTGGGACAACGTTTGGCCGAATAGAGGGATGTCCTTTAGTCTCAGGGTCATAGCCCATAGTACAATTTAGAAGCACTCCCATTGGTCTCTTGTGTCTGGAATGCATCAGTCTGACCCGCAACAATTTAGAATATCATGACATACTACACTACTGCTCAATCGGGCAATGACAAGCACGGCAGCCCATATACTGACAGTTGGATAGCGGAAACTAAACCTATTCTGTTATTGACAGTACTTGAATCAGAAAGTATAATATATAGTCTGATTCGGCAAGTATTTAATTAGCCGGGGAATGTGGATACAGTCTGAACTCCCTGTTGAGGCTATATGTAAATCTTCACACCCCCTCACACAGCTCGGTCTAATTGAGTCCGAGCTGTGTCGGGTGAGAGACCCTTATAACAAAGATATTTCAAATATTACAAGGTACATAGGAGGCCCTATACTTGGTTACACAGAGGTACAAAATGTGGTTATTGCTATATTTTCTTGCCGTTATTCCGATCTGTGTCATTACTGAGGCGTCCAATCATTCTTATGACTTCTCATCCGGATATGCTCTCTTGTACTCGAATTCCAGCGCGATTGTTCAGTTCATTGATGGGGCTAACCCTGAACGAGAGTTTCTATTGAATAAAACAACAGCGACATTCCACACCCGCAGTCATGCATGGGGAGCAGGAACTATCTCGACCGACTCTGGAGAGGGGTCCTGGAATCTGGACTACATACCTTACAACAACTTTAGTGGACCTTACAACATCCCCCTCAATGATGGCCTACGCCTGAAAATCACACGGTCCCCTGGGCAGGTCCTCACAGAAACGTACACCTTCGAGAATACATCTCCTGAAAGGATCGCGGTGACAGGGATATACATACAGACTCCCTTTAACGACCTATATGACACAGCCCTTTGGTCTCTGACATCTGCCGTCAATGCCCACATTTTTACCGGCGGTGCATGGGCATGGGCCTTAGCTGAGCCTATGTCAGGCGAGGGCCGATCACTAGGTCTCATTGTGCGAAAGGGCCACTTATGGAGTTATTCTCTGGAGACATCTTCCAGCTCTGACGTCCGGGGACACATAGTTCTTCAAGTCACAGACGCAAAGAGGGACTCTCAAGGTTTCGGTGGTCAACCAGTGGTCTACATTGACCCGGGAGATTCGTATGTTCTGGAGTGGGAAATCGGTTTCTATGATGACGCCAGTGACTTCATCGAAGCCACGAATCCCCCAGCAACTTTCTCAGCATACTCTGCACCTTTAGGCCAAGCGATCACTCTCGACTCGAAGATTGAACCGACTTCATCATCTTCAAGTTTAAAGATTAAGAAGAGTGGAGATGGCTACACACTCAGTGCAAGTTCTCCAGGCACCTATAACGTCGATATTGGCGATTCCCGAACTGAGGTTTCATTTCACTTGCCACTTGAAACCGTTGTGCGAGAGAGGGCCCATTACATGCTAGAACACCAGCGGCCGGTGGAGCGTTCAGCCCCTCTCGATGCTGCGTTTGTTGCCATTGACACTGACAACCTCACTACGATTGTGTCAAGCACATGGGACGACTGGGGGGATGGCTCGGAGCGAATTGCCATGCCCACGCTTCTTCAATTGGCAGCTATGCACGGATATATTTCATCTGAACTAGTGGACGTTCCGTTGGAAAACTGGATCGAGTTTGCCAGCACCTCTCTATTTGATGCTGAAGGCAATACTTGGCGTTGTACCGGATGCTCCCAGACTCAGAGACCATACGACGCCATATGGCTTGTCATGTTTTTCAACGACCGGTACAAATGGCTCGGCAATAGCACAAATATTGACACAGCAGTCACATTACTAAACAGAGCATTCGAAGTTGGAAAGGTGCAGGAAGCGCCAATCATCTTCTTTTCGCAAGCCATCCTAGAGCTTTGCCAGAGCCTTGACAAACTCGGACGTTACAACGAAAGCGCTACGTACAGGAGCAAACTTGTCGATACAACCATGAGTTTCGTGAACGATGGACGTGACCTCCCAGCATCTGAAGTAAGCTATGAGCAGTCCATCGTGGAACCTCTGGTAGAGATGGTTGCAGACACATATAATTTAACGAGAAATATGACGCTGCTCAGCGAGACACAGGAGCGTCTTAACTGGCTCATGGCCTTCTCCGGGCCACAGCCACATGCTCGGCTCTACCAAATCGCAAACCGCCACTGGGATGATTATTGGTTTGGCCTGCGTCGTCAGTGGGGGGACGTGTTTCCTCATTACTGGAGTGCACTGACCAGTCAAGCACTTATTCGCCTTCCTCGGGAACTGAGAACCAAGCAAACCGATCAGATAGCTCTTCAAATCCTCCGGTCTAATATGGTCAATTTCTTTTCTGGAGGGTCGGCAACTTGTGCATTTGTCTTTCCCTCGGCAGTTGACGATGAGTCGGCTAATGTAGCTGACCCTATGGCTAATGATCAGGACTGGCATCTGGTTATTTGGTTGAGGCTGCTTGAATATGGAATACCAAGTGTCTAAGGACCTAGGATGCTAGAGAATGATCTTTGGTAGTAGCAGTAGCAGCATGGTAGTTCCAAGGTCTTATCCTATGAATTCGTTCTGGGCTGTTATTAACCCCCCTCTGGTGTTTGTTCTGACACAGTCGAGGTTCGTACTGTCTGAGTAGAATTACAAGGGTACCCACCTGCGATGGGGTCAGACCGGTGCTGAAAAAATAGTTCAGTCAGAGTCAGAGAAATCCTGACCCTGAATAATCTCATACACGTGATTCAATACTATTTCCTGATACTGAATCAGCTCTGCACGTGATTTGAAAGTCTTATCTAAAAATTAAATAAAAATTCCTAAAAATGCTTAAAAATAGAGGAATGGTAGGTAGCTTGTCATATCCCCAGCGCCGTCAACCGCATTCACATTCCCGACATTACAGGGACTGGTGCAAGCCCGACATCAGCATGGATGTTATAGAGTACGCTGCACCTTCGGTACAACACATTCATCTGCATTGGAGTGGGAACCAGACTGTACTTTACGGCTGGGCAAGCAGTGAAAACGGAATGCCGTTGTTGTGTAAAAATCCGACGTCATTACTATCCAAGATCACGCTGCATGCCTACCAGCTGAGGCTTTCCTCTTTGAAGGGAATTATGGGAAACAGGTCTGTCTGATACGTAGTTTAGGGCCTGGAAAGCTCGGATCGTCGAGACCACATGATTCGGCAATTCTGTAACCTCGTGGATGATCGAACGCAGCACAAGATCGAAGTGATACCAAAGCCGGTAACAAAAAGTATCATAAAGAGTGACTGAGCCGATGCGGACCAAGATCCACTCCCGAGGGAGCAGATGGAGAAGCCCCGATCAGATGCATGGATTGAGGCGATGGAGCGTTTCCGAGGCTCCTTGATTCGCATGCATGATAAAAGTATGCTGAGTAACACCAAGCGAGTTAAGGTATGTTGCTGGATGGAAAGAAAACCCTTACTCAGGTTTGCTTGTACACGTGCTAACCAGGGGCAGGTGGCATTGATTGATGACGGAATTGACCTTCAAGACTTCAACACTTATAGATTTGCCCAATGTACGGGCGTGAGTTACTGTTCGAGCGATATAAGTAACGGGGACCCGTGGTGGAAATCCACTAATGGGCATGGTACCATCATGGCTAACATGATCAGCCGAATCAATCCGTGGGTTCAGCTTGAAGTGATCAAAGTCCAGAGCAGCCCTTCCTACGTCCATGGCGATGGAGCACGCAGCATGAGCCCTCGAAGTGCCGCCGATGCCATCAACGCGGCAGTAGTGCGTGGTGCCGATATCATCTCTATGTCGTGGACTATAACAGACGTAGGGTTTCGTATGTCTGTGTTATCAGACAGTGCGTCCAATGTGGATGGCGACAAAAGGCGAGCGGATGAGAATGATCTGAAGCTCCTCCAGAGTGCAATTGACGACGCTGTTAAAGGAGATAAACGACTCCTGATTTGCTCCGCCGCGGATGATGTCCGGCTCAATGGGGACAATACTTTTCCCTATAGCCAGGCTCCGGAACTCATTCTTCGCATGGGTTCGACGGGGCCTCAGGCGAATCGAGACCTGGGATCAGGTAGTGGAGGCTCTATAACATACTACCTGCCAGGTAACCAGGTTGCCGAGGATCGGAGGCCTCATTCTGCAAAGCCCGTTGTTTATCATAACGGATCCTCTGTCTCGACGGCACTTGCTGCGGGCCTCGCATCATTGATCATGTATTGTTGTCACTGCCTCCACTCGTGCCAGGCTGGTGCTGAGTATGAAAATTGCGCGAAAGCACTACGGAGTCATGCAAACATGCGTAAGGCTTTTAATAGCATTAACAGGTATTTCGAGTGGAAAGACGATGAGAAAATCGTTCCAGTCTGGGGCCCTTTCGGTGACAAGAGCAGTATGCTGGATAAAGCAACTAACAGCGAAGACAAGATCAAAGTGCTGAAAGAACTGGTTGCGTGCTTATGCCTGGATATCAAGTGAACAGGGCCAACTTGGAAATATGGTTAGGTCAAGCATGAATTTACCGTTTACCGTTCTGGCCTAACGGCTCCAACCCGATGAGAAAGTATAAAGATGTTAGCTTTCAGATAATTGAGGGAGTGGCTGACCCAAGGCCCATTGTTATAATCTACAACAGGCCACCTTGCAATCATATCGGTAACCATTTAACATCAGTCGGAGACCATCCAGACTAATATATTAGCCAACTAGCCCATATAACTCCTAGCCCCATTCAGTTGCATATTGCACATCTTTGTACGCTCCCCAGTGCCACTCGTCCATGCGCTAATTGTAACTGACATCCACTACCCCCCAACCATCTTTTCGGGGGCCTCGACAGCCGTAGAGCAGATCCTCGGATAACAGATACCGAAGGCATGAATCATCCCTTAGCCACGCTTCTTCCCTTCGCTGCCAAAATATTGTCTAAATCATAGGTGACCAACCAGTCACCCGCCGGCTCAGGCTCCGGCAGTTTAAGATCCGGATTATGCCTATTCATGCCCCTGGCGAACAGTATCCGGGCGTAGGCGGGGTCGAACACGAAGGTCGTTTCGCCGGTCACACTGTTCTTCACTTCTGCCGTGGCCTCAATCTCGTCAATGGCTATGTACTCGTCTAGTTGCGGCACGCTGGCCTTCTCAATCTGTTGCTTAATGTGCTGGGCCATCTCAGGGTCGAGCCGGGTGTCGAGAAAGTATAGCTGGCTAGGGCCGGCTGCTGCCACATAGGGAGTATCTGGAGCCACGATCTGGCGGCCCCATGCGGTTTCAATCACCTCTGGGACGTAATTGCTGCTCCGGTATTCCTCCTGGAAGGTGGGAGAGCCCTCACATGGTCGGAAGGGGTTCAGGAGCATGGTGGTGAGTATGAGAGGGATGAGCATTGTCAAGATTGACTGGGTAAGAATGAGAGTAAGGGAAAATGGATTATATTGACTGGCCTCATATGTCTTTTCTACAATTCTGTCAGTAGCTTGGAAGTCCAGGTTCCTGGTATCAAGGATCGTAGGACCCTGCTTGGTCACGCGCTAAACACTGACGTTAGTCCGGTTGCTATCAACGCCACACTTACGAACCATTGGTCCCTACTTTGTTACTATAATGCTACCGTTACAGACCCGGCGATGTTAGAATGAGGGGTTAGTTGTCAAATACTGCTGCCTAGGGTGGGTTGCGCTTGCTGAGAGGGAGTTACATGGGGATCTACTCTATAGGGCGAAGATATAAAAGATAGCAAGGATTCGCTTCCATTCGGCAAGCCCGGCGGGGTACAACTTTAGAATCCCTTCGAAATCTTGCAGGCTCATGCAAAAATATTGCTTGAAACACTGAAATCGTGATAAAAGGAAAGCTTTCAAATCAAGATAAACTATGTTGAAAGTACATGCAGCCCAAGAAGAGCTCCTAGGAGTTCGCATGTAAAGATAGCTTCTCAAGATAAGACTTGGTAAATTGTGTGACGACGGCTCAATTGGTAATTGAATTAATCCTCAAGGTTACACTTGTCTCATATCCCCGCCGGAACTCCGGAAGAAGGACAAGGATTGTTATCTGTCGCCTCACCCCGACGCTGGTTCTACGAGCGTCTAAGCCTTCTTAGCGCTGATACCATGAGCTTATCTTCAACAATCAGCATTCGTACTTAATATGTAGACCCTTAGACACAGTATTAGCCTCACCCGGCCCTGAATTCCCTCTACACAAGACCCGCACCTGGTCCCCCAGTACTGACAGCCCCGACTCGCCGTACGCGATGGTAGGAATACTGCTCGCGTAGGATCGGGGCCACAGGTGGAGGGTGGAGAGTATTGTGTGCGTGAGTCCAGGGAAGGTTCTTTCTGCACCTTGTCTTGTTGATTTCACGGTTTGACTTCCCTGCGAGTGTTTTGAGTTTGGGATGTGGGATAAGCCGCACGTGGGAGTCTAGTGATCAAGGTGGAGGGGCGTTTCTGGGGGTTGTTTGGGAAGTGAGTCCGGTATTCTAGGATGATGTCTAGGTAGAATTTTTGTAGTCTCGGGGAAGGTTTGAGATCTGGGTGCTGAGATTATTGTTCATATTGCTAGGAAGCGAAAGGGTGCCTTATGATTAGGTAGAAGATACAGAAGCAGATTACTGGTATTTGGACGCGCCAGAAACGGCCGTCTTCTCTGTTCTTCCTTGCTTATCCTCCAGCCTGTGGCACCGACCCTCTCTCCAAGCATGCCGGCTTATCCGACAATTGCATATTTTCAATAATATGCCTATCCTATGACCCACTTTTGCTGATACGCTTTGTGGACCAGTAAGTGATCTGGTGCTTCCCTTTCCTGTCATCTTACGTGGCTTTACGAGAGTTCGATAGATGCCTCTTTCGGAACATAATATATTCCAAAGGCAATAAAATCCGCAGTGCTTTCAAATAATCACTTCCGGTAATTGATGTTTATAGCTCAAGGCCAGTCAAAATCGAGGATATCGTGATCCCATATTCCAAAGTCAAGAGGAATCGTCGCCATTGGTGACTCACTTTCGAAATTCGCCGGTTCATGGCCACCCAGATCAGCTTGCGGCGGGAATGTTGATGTTGGAAGAGAATTTTGGGCCATAGAAGGAGTCCCTTCAATTGACACAGACGCATGTCTTGCATTATCCAAGCGTCTGGAAAACAATCGAACTAGGTCTTCAGCAGCTGAGATAGTTTCGATGTCAATACATGTGTTTGGCCCGGTATCAGGAGCAACCAGTTCCGCCTTGTGCTTATCGAGCAGCTTGAGGGCAGTATCTACTATCCTACCCATCAGTGGGTTGAGATTGTGACTTGGTGTTAACGAAAATGATATGCACATCCATTGATGGTAGAAGCACAATAGCGTCGACTGGAAGACTATTGATGACTTGTTCGGAAAAAGACAATGAAGTCGTTGGCCATCATGACTGCTTTCCAAAAGGCCGAGTATATTGAGTGCTGCACGAACGCATCTTGACAAGCTCTTCATGAATTGGGGGTGTTTCGGGTCAAATGTCAATGCTGGCTGGTGAATTAGCACAACAGCCACGTTTCCTAAGAAGTGTAGAAACAGTGTCTCGAACGATTGACCTGATGAATTGATGTGAAGGGTGTCCGGTAGAGCATCGTCGTTCTCTTTCATCCCACTGCCTTGGAATCGGACTACGCTATGGTGCCACACCGAGAGCTCGTGGTCCAATGCGGTAATTTTGGCGACACCATTTCGCCGCTTAGTAGTGGTATATAGCGACTTGAGGCAGCTAGAGAAAAGTCTGAGCAGCTTGACGTAAAGGATAAAGGTAGCCATGCTTGTTGTCTCTCCCGGTAGCGGGAGCGGTATGTCAGAGGCAGTCACATCGTCGAGATCCGTGTCAATAGGCAGGTCGGTATCCACGTCATCGTCTTGGATCAGCTTCGGCAAGCCATGTACTACGCTGCACGCGCTTTTCGGGAATTAGAGGTTTGGAGAGAGCAATTTGTTTGACAGAAAACTTACACGTCCACTGCGTAAACGCACCACCACATCCGTTTTCTTAATTCCATTTCCCCAGCGCAAAAGCGGAAACGCCTAGAATGCCGATGGAGTCCTAGAGATTGCGCGAGACGAACAGCCTGACCAGCTGTCTGAATCCATTCCTCATGTTTCCGTGTGAGCTGAAGATATAGACAAGTCAAAAGCAGGGACTGAAGTCCTGCAAGGCCCTCGTTTTCGGATGCGGTTGTTAACCGGGAACATTCCAAGGCATTGAGGTAGTATGAATTGCACTCCGTGGGTGAGCGATTCTGCCACGCTGTAATAGAGAGGACAAGAAATATTTGTCTCAGGATAACATAGTCAGAAGGTGACAGGTTAGGGTCGTGGGTCTCAACAAGATCGAAAACCCTGTGGAAGGCAGAAAGAAACTGTTTCTCCATGAATATTGGCCATATTGATGACCAAAATTTTGAAAAGTCTGTCACCCCACGCAGGTAAAACGCTCGTGTGTTCTCAAGCAGGAAATGCGGTGGTCGAGAAATATTACTTGACTTTGACAAATGTCGAGTTTGGGAATATTCTGGACCAGGCCCGAGCAGATGGAGCCGATTTACAACATCTGGAAAACCCTCTTCATGATTGAACAAAGACTTATAAGCCGCTTCAGCGCAACGAATAAAATAAATACCAGTCGTTGATCCTGCAAATCGGTCGACACTCGGTGTAAGGGCACTAGGCGCCCCAGATGCTTGATGATAGATTGGTCTTGTTGATTTGCAGTAGTTGCCGCATCAGACGATACTGCAGCTTGTGGCGCTTGATATTTGGGGGCCTGAAAGCTATGCGAAGGGTCACTCCATATGGGTGTGTTCAAATCTGTGGAGTGACAAGAACGTAGTTGCTGGATCTCGCGCTGTAAATTCTCATTTTGTGCTCTGAGCTCATCGAGCAACCTTTCTTGTTGCTCAAGGTGTCTAATGAATTAGTTAACAGGATCCATAGGTATGTAGGCTGACCAAGCAACACGTCACATACCTTCTGGGCCGCGTTCGCCTTTTAAGTTGCTTGGATGTGACACATGAAGCTTCAGACGCTCTACAATTGCTACACTACAGGAGCCTCATGCTATTAGTTCGCACTATTTATCTGAGATAGATAAGTGGAAAGATACCGATGGTAGTAATCCGTCACAGCGGATCTTCTTTCTATATATACGGACTTAGTTTTTTTTTGCGACCAATCTGGTAGTGTGGAGAAGATCTGCTTACATCCGGCATCGATCACTGACAGGCGGCATTAGTAAAATGTTCAATTGAGTACATCAGACGGATGCATACCATACTTGAGAGGACAATTGCAGCTGAGGCATGGCATCCCTTTGCCCTGAACCTTCCATTTTACTTATTATACCAGAGATACATCGCTATGCGAGGACAATTGAACCCCGAGAACACGGAGACGCGGGGGAATTCTCAAGTGGGTCAGCAGAGAACCCAAGGCCATTCAGTCACGTGAATCAGGCTGACGGAGGCAAATTGCTGCTCTCACCCAACCTGCCATAACTACACACAAACGGTGTGATTCAGTCACAGCACCTCACAGACGGCCATCCCATTATCTACATAGCAGATCAAAAATGGATTTGGAAGTCGGGTCATAGATACTCAATTGCAAGTGCTAGAATAGTTCGACTGTCAACCAGAGTCCTGAATACATATCGTGCTGATTAATATATATAATATCATGGACAGTTGCGTCCATCCTATAGAAAAAACTGACATATATAGTGTTTTACAGGATATTTCTTATACTCCTTTCCACGCACCAAGGAATGCAGCCTTGACTGAACGTGGTGTTTTAAAGACATCCTGGAATGACACATGAACATATCCGAGCCAAATACTATCGATACCTCATGCTACATCTTCAAACGCCCTCGTGATGTTCAACCTTCGCGATCTCACCTTTCTCAAGTGAAATCCGACCTTCTGCATCGCAATCAGGAGACCGAAAAGATGACCTGACAGTTCCTCGGATGCTCAGGCCTCGTTTGAACAGCATGTCTAAATCTTCAAGCTTCCACCCCATAGTTTCCGGATACAGAAAATACACCGAGATAGGAATGCATGCACCCATCACAGCGTAAACGATATAATACTGATATCCGATGTTATTTATTGCAACAGGAGTAATCATTGTGACGACGAAATTCCTATCCCAGTGAGTACTATAATTCATGAAATGTGACGGCTGCATTGCAGAGAAAGCTTACCAAAGCCAATGATTTGCGGTCGAGATCGAGGCCATGGCAACCCTTAGCCGAAGCGGCGCCACTTCGGTACAGTACAGGAAATTTGCACCCAAGAACCCGATCGGGATAAAAAAGTTGAATAAGAAAATAAAGAGCGCTGACATAACGGAGGCAGGCTTATTTGCATGCGGAAAGCTCGTGGTGATGGCCAAGGCCAGCATGCAAAGCGACATTCCTGTTCCGCTGACGATGAACACCATGCGGCGGCCGTACCGATCGATGCAGTAAAAAGCCACGAAACATGAGAGGAACTTCCATGAGAGCGTTGCAGCAGCGAGTATTCTCGACATCATGCTGCTCATCTGAAGATTCTCTTCGAATATAATCGGAGCGTAGACTGAAATAAGGTTTCCTATGAGCAGTCACGTCAGCTGCATGCACGTAGGGGGCGTGTTCTATGGGCACTTACCTCCCGACATTTGCTGGTAAAACTGGAGTAAAATGCACAGAGAGAAGCGATAGAGCAGCTTTTCATCATTTGGGCGCCAAATATCCATAATTGAAAGACCACGCGAGTGATTCTCTAGTGTCAACTGGATTGCCGCAATGTCTCCGCTCACATCTTCTGACGCGGCTGATGCACCACTCAGACTGACGAGTGTTGCACGAGCCTGCTCGAGGCGGCCCTTTTGAACAAGCCATCGAGGAGACTCTGGAAGAAAGAAGATTGAAAACATAGGAATAAGCGAAACCAACCCCGGAATGGCCAGAGGCACTCTCCAAGCAACCGAACCGGACTTGATTTGATAGAATCCTAGGTTAACCCACGACGTTATTGCGTACCCAGCACTGATAAAGACGCCATCCAGAACAACATGCTTTCCCCTACTCTGTGCCGATGAACATTCAGACTGCCAAACAGGCACAGTCCCACTAAGCATTCCAATGCCAACTCCAATTATAAGCCTTCCCACAATCAACTGAGCGAGCCCAAAAGAGGAACAGCATAGGACCTCCCCGACCAATGTTGCTAGTGAGCCTGCAAAAATAACTCTTCGTCTCCCCAGTATATCACCAATGAATGAGCATGAAAGAGCTCCGATCAAAGCACCTAGGGTAAATGTCGAAATAACAACCCCTTGGACTGTTAGATTGTGGCTTTTCACGGCTCCTACCGTGTGGATGGTATCGATTTCAGAAAACGTTTTGGTCCAGCTTTCCACAGAGACGAGGCCACCGACGCCTGCTTGATTGTAACCGAAGAGAAAAAAGGCAGGGCACACTACCAGAATCAACTGGGCAAGAGACAGTGCTCGACCGTGGAGTGCCATCCTTTATGGCGACTAATTTCACGCAATTGTTGTCCGACATGTGGGCGAGGGTGAATGCAGTCCATTGCGGATACTTTTATACCTTACAGGCTACCCCACGGCCAAGAAGTTTCCCCGGGATATTTGTGTAGATGACGGGGAGTAAGTATGCACCCCAGATTGGCCAAGAGGACTGACGTGCGGTTAAACCGAAATTGCGGGGATGGAATAGGGCTCGCTCGGGAGACTAATTTCGGGATAAGGCCTATCCCGTCGGAATAGTACCAAGCTCCGGGATAGTGTCGACATAGTTTCGGGATAACAGCTTACTGCTTAGATGACTCTCGAATTTCTCATTTAAAAGGCAAGTATCTACCAGGGACATCCATCCCTGCATACGACCATCAATTTTCTGAGAAGCATCATCTATTCAACTCCTGAAAAATGTTGAACAGTGCGGTTGATTCCCGCATTTTCCGCAACCTTTTTGGAACCGAAGAGATTCGTGACATTTTCTCAGATGAAGCGTACATCAAGTGCTTGATCGAAGTTGAAATTGCTCTTGCGCGAGCTGAAGCAACATTCAATGTTATCCCTCAAGAATCGGCCGATGTTATTGCAGAGAAGGCCAAGTACGAAAATCTAAAGTACGTGTCCTCCTTCCTGAACGCTGCAAGTGCGTAATAATAACATCAATGAAAAACAGCCTCAGTCGCATGGCCGCAGACACCGAAAATGTTGGGTATCCTGTTTTGCCGCTGGTATGGCAACTGGCTGAGATGGTACCCCAAGAGCATGCCAAGTACATCCATTGGGGCGCCACGACTCAAGATATCATGGACTGCGCTTCCATGGTGCAAATCCGTAGGGGACTCGTTGTCGTCCGTCGGAACCTTCATGAATTAGATACAGCTTTAAGGGCTCTTTCGGAGAAATACGCCGACACGTAAGGCTCATCTACGCAACGCCGCTAGAGGAGATGCTGACATTTTCAAGACCCATGGCAGGCAGGACCCATCTCCAGCATGCGCTCCCGATTACATTCGGCTATAAATGCGCCGTATATCTCTCAGGTATTCAACGGCATATCCAACGATTGGCCGAAATAGAACTTCGATGTTTGCTGGTCCAATTCGGTGGCGCGGCTGGCACGTTGGCCTCGCTCGGCTCAGATAATACCGGTCTACAAGTGCGAAAGCAACTTGCGAGGGAACTTGGGCTACATGATCCATCAATTACATGGCATGTGGCACGCGATCACGTTGCAGAGGTTGTCAATTTCCTCGCGCTAGTCGGGGGATCTCTCGGAAAGATCGCTCTAGATATCATCATCATGTCGTCTAACGAGGTTGCCGAAGTGGCTGAGCCCTTCGTACCGTTTCGGGGGGCGTCGTCAACTATGCCTCAAAAGCGAAACCCCATATCAAGCGAAGTTATACTTGCCTCTTCGAAGCTGCTTCGGTCTAACGCATCATTGGCTCTGGATGCCATGGTGTCCGATTTCGAACGAGCTTCCGGCCCCTGGCACCTGGAGTGGAGCTGCATACCAGATTCCTTTGTACTATGCTGTGGTGCACTCCACCAAGCAAACTTCATTATGAGGGGACTTCTCGTCAACACCGACGTTATGTCAAGCAATCTCAATATGACCAAGGGCTTGATTGTTGCGGAGGCCGTGATGATGGGAACTGCGCCGAAGATTGGTCGCCAGAGAGCACATGATGTGGTTTATGAGGCCTGCACAAAGGCAATTGAGGGAAACCTCCCCTTAATTGATATTCTCCGACAGGATGAGAGTCTAGTGGCTCAGGTCGGGGAGGAGAAGCTGAGGTCTCTCTGTGATCCATGTCAGTACCTTGGTTGCTGCCGACAAATGATTGAAAATGTCATTCAGTATGAGTGAGGTAAAGTAGGAATGAATTGCAAAAACTCTCTTAAACCTTGTAACATATTGGAAAACATCATTTTCCCGCATTTTCAGACTCTCTGTCTTATATTCATACTAACAGGTCCCTAGAAACCTCTTTATAGGGGTTCGATCTGGAGTTAAAGACGTAACGGATTATGGTTGAACATACGACATATTCGCTGACATATAACAAGTACTGCAAGTGTGTATAATCTACACCGTATGCGAGAGCACGAGTGAGTCGCCACCTTATTGATGGTATTGATGCATAGCCTGTCAGTCTTAGTACAAGGACAGGGATGGGTAGTGTATAGCTATATCGCTCTCTTCCAAGTCTAGCTTATTGACCTACAAGTGAGTGGGATAATTCTAGGAGGCGAAACAGCATGATGCGAGGAATATATCATGTAAGTCTGTGATAGCTTCCATCAGCTCCTGCTTCCCCACTTCGCACAGTAAAGGAACTGATTGTTGCGGGGTTGAGCCAAAGCTGCAGCTTAGTGACACGGAAAAATTAATCCTCAAATAGCAGCGATGACAACCAGTCGTTTTCAAATCTACGTTCTGTTTCGGTGAAACAATGTGCCGACGTTGGTTCACTTTCCTGGGCTATAATAATGTAGCGAAGGTCACTGCAGCAGTGTACAACACTTTAGAGGGAAGACAAGACTATTATGAAAGCTATTTCAGGCGAACGTTTCCATGATGCCTAGTTCTCTTGCGAGTGTAATCGCTCTTACATTTTTCATTCCATTTGCAGTGTCCGTTCAATTCAACAAGTTCAATGTCACCAGGGAAATAAGCATCTCTCCAGCTGCTAACCCTAGGCCAGGCAAGCAAACTGTGGATGCAGCATATCAATCTTTTTCCATTGAGTTTTCGTTCATGTCAGACTATGCCGGAAATGATACGTAAGTATATTCAACCCCAATCACTACTAGTCACGTATTGATAAATCTTCCAAGACATCCAAATCTTTTTTCAAGGCGAGTGATTCAGAATCTCTACGATATATCGGGCGCATATCCGATATTCCGTGTGGGCGGCAGCACCCAAAGCTCTGCGATATACTATCCGAATCAAACCGAGGCTATCATCGACCCATTTAGCTCTGTCGCCTCTGACCAGCCATCGCATACTTTTGTTGGCCCTTCGTGGTTTCAATCCTTTAGACAATTTCCTAATGGCACCCAATATATCTATGGTATAGTTACTACGATACTACAAATTGTAAATGGCTAATAAAATTCCGCCAGGCCTCAATTTCTTCAATACAGTAAACGAGACATATAACAATATTGGAAACGGCCTTGATCAATGTGTACTTGAGGCAAACGCCGCCTACAAGACAATGGAAAAATCGTTATATGCATTTGAAATTGGGAATGAGGTCGATGGTATGTTGGCTTTGATAATATTGTGATCGTTTAGACGGCATTTAACAGTATTGATCAGGTTGGGGAAATGGCAAGCACAGAGAAGGGAATTGGACAGTACAACGCTACGTCAACCAGTGGAACGAATTTGCGACAGCTATAAGTCGGAATTTGACTGGCAAGAACGCAGCGAGATTGTTTCAAGGATGTGCTTTTGAAGCACCTCGCCATATCAACGAGAGGACGGACTGCTGGAATATTGAAAATGCCGAGCTAGATGGTATGCATCCAGACAAAACAAAGACAGTTTCCGACCATGAGGTGAGGAATCATACCATTAATATTCAATAATCACGGACTATTTGTTGACCGGAATTTTTTAGTATATGGGCGCTAACTGCCACTACACGGGTGCTGGGCCAACAATTGAAGACACCCTTTTCGATCGCACCAACATGCTCTCTCGCGTATGGTACCATGACTATCTGGGCAATGCGACAGCGGAATCAGGTATCAAATATGTCATTGGTGAGACCAACTCCATTTCTTGCCAAGGCGCGTTCAATATCTCCGATGTTATGGCATCTGCTGTCTGGGCTGTTGATTATGTTATGTACCTATCCTCACTCAAGGTATCTCGTGTTCATTTCCACATGGGAACACGCTATCGCTACTCACCCTGGCAGCCTATAGTATATAATGACAGTGCTCCTCATGTCAATCCAATGTACTACGGGAATCTGTTCAATGCTGCAGTGTTCGCCGGCGGAAATAAGCAGACAGAGGTTCTTGTCAACGAAACAAACTTCGGCGCATATGCGGTCTACAAGTCGGGAAGCCTTGATGCTATTGTGGCGGTCAATCTTAACATCTGGAATTCAACATTAGATCCCGTTGCCAGGCCATACACAGCACTAGCCCTTCCAGAAATCTGGAAAGATGCCAAGGTTTCTAGGCTCACAAGCCCGGGTGTTGATATTGCTGGCAATATCACATTTGCCGGTCAATATGTTAATGAGAATGCGAGCATTGTTGGACAAAAAATATACGATAAGGTGACTGGCGGCAAGGTCTTGGTCGGGGCCGGCGAGGCAATACTTGTTCAGAGGTGATCAGTTGCTTGTAAGTCCAACAGTGAAGATATTCTTGACATCAAAGGGTATACTTTTGAAGATGCACATAATGGGAGGCCATGTCTGGGCTGTATTTATAACGATCAGACGTTCACACCTAGGCAACTGAATTAGAAGTCCCCAAGTTTTGGATTTCCAGCGGGCAGAGACTTTGACTTTCAAGGCTTCTATTCAGACACGTCCTGATTTAATCATATTGTGAAGCTTTATATTGAACATATAGAGAAGGATCATCTATTATACTTTATAGTGGTTATCTATCCATAGTCGTTTACTTCCTTCACATAGCGTCTCAACGGCCCAGCCACGATTCTGTGGACCTCCACGAGTAAAAACCTCTATCTTGAGGATCAGAATCTCCAAACATGGCAAAATTTATGTATCTAGGATTTGGTTTAGATCCTCTCCACTTGAGTATAAATTGCCATTGTGTTTGACTGCACATGAGGCGATCGTGAGCAAACAAGCCCGAGTACTGTATATCATTTCCTGACAACGTATGCTACTCTAGACATTAGCTATTACTATTTAGTATAACATTTGTACATACAGAATCCTTTCCAAGAATTCATTTTACTTTAAAGGAATTAATGACAGCGTGCCATTGATATATGCTGGCAATAAGCAGAAAAACGTACGCGGCGCTCGGTTGTGGGATTCTACAACAAAGTTCGAACGAGGGACTGGATCACGAGGCGAAGACCTCTCTAGCTTAGCACCAGCGTTATACTTGCAAGGGTTCAGTTGATCACAGTTTTCCCCGATTTCTCCACCTACCACATCCTGTTCTATGCTTCCCCGCAGTTAGATGAGGGATCAGCACCAGTAGTGTGCTTTGAGCCTGTTATCCATTCTTCCTCCTAAGACCTGGTCGGGATATGCTTGCCCGAAATTATTGGTTGAATACCTTGGCAGGTCGCGATAGTCTCGGAGTAACATTCGCCTAATTCAACAGGGAAATTTGAACTTTGCAAACGATAAGATATAGGTAGAATCAAGATGATCGAATCAACTTCCGGCGTATGTTTATCCAATTTCATTAGGGTATCATATATTCTTTATTAAGACTTCGAACTTTGTACTGAAGAGGCAGTGAGCGGCTGTCTTACCCCCAAAATATTATTTAAATGACAACAATTTCCTTCCTAGCTTGACGCTCACTATTGTGGCATTGATGGGCTAAGTGAAGCAAGAAAATAGTACATACGACCACAGGGTGTGGAAAATAGGGCTTCCCGTCCGCTCAGCCGTACTCAAGCCACACGCCGGGAGGTTAGTAGTTGGGTGGGTGACCACCAGCGAATCCCTTCTGTTGTATGTAATTTTGTATTTTATTTTTGGACTTATATCTAACTAATTCCAAAGTATGGATGGGGCTATTCGCCGTTTTGAACCGCGTTAAAAGGACGTGCTTTATTGCTTGTGTAGCCGCAATATATTATATTGGTCTACTCGGGGAGCAGCCATATCTGGTAAGGGCTATTGGCTGTTCATCCCTTCTGCGGTGAATCAGCCTAGAACCATTGTCACATTACTTCTGTCTGTCTCCTCAGAACTAAGCGTTCGTTTAACACCCTGATCCTGTTGGTTTAGCGTCTTATTGTCTCCAAAACGGTGTCTATAGTGCTACTGGTAAGCTGTATCAGAGACATAGACCCAGTGAACACCCCAAATTGGCACAATGCTTCGATAATAATTAGTCAGGAGTACATCTATTTCTGGCATTACTTCGTATTTGATAACAAAACTATGGGTGTCAGTAGTACTTAATTTATTACATCGTCCGCCAGCCCAGCCTCCACGCCAGTAGTATCCCGGGATCCTCAACAGCTATTGCATTTTCCATTTCAACACGTAGAATAACTGAAGATACACCGAGCGATCCATAGTAGCTGTGATGCTACAAAAGCGCATAAGCTGTTTTTTTCGTAACAATTTTATTGCTAGCTATCTGCAGCCATCGTGGTCATTCAAAGGTACTAGGTACTGGCAATCAGGGCCAGAGTTATTGGCCCTGTCGAAGGGTTGGCGATTCATGTTGACAGGATTCTACTCTGTTTATTTGTTATTTATCGAGTCTCAAGTTCAATACGAGTCCGTTGCTGGCCCACAAATGTGAGGCATATCTAGTGCAAATGGGCATACGATCGCATCTTGACAGCGATTATGTCTCGGTGAGTCTAAGCAAGATTAAGGCGACGGACCTCCCATAGTATGCTAATGTCCCCAAATGGCTAAACGTCAGTGTGCCTAATGCTATAGTAGCGAACGGATTTCCCGCTCACGGCACCTCGAATAGAATCCACCTGCAGCTTCTGCCTTTTGTTCGTATCGGGCCCATTCGCAAGGTGCAACTTTTTTGGTCCCTTAAGCTCCCTGAATAATTCCAGCTGCTACTTCGGTGATAATTTGTTCAGCTAAGGTACCATTATCATGGTTGGTGCTGTTGTCTTATGGCGGAGAAATGGTTCTAAGGACCATTTCACAAAGGTAACATGGTTCCGATAACGGAAGGCAGTAGGCATAGTGCCTTGGATCAGTTTATACGTCTTTCGCCCTTCAGAATCAGGCACGCCAAAAACATGGCTTCCTTCTTCAGCTCAAACTGCCACAAGGGAGGGGTCATTTCCGCTCAATCGAGACCCGCATATACCTGGGGAACTCTTTCTTCAGTGAAGTAGTTCATCCACGGACAACAAGCAATAAAAATCTCGCTCGTGGATCTAGAGCTGCGGCGGCTAGCACCATAGGTTCATTGAAAGACATTCCCCAAAACCCAATCTGATTTGGGTCCACGGCATTATACGTGGATAGGAATGTCAAAGCGTCGGAGTAATCCTCTGCAAGCCTGGCCGCATCAAATTCATTTCGCCGAAGTCCATTACTCTCACCAAGAGTATGTGGATTGTAAACAAGAACACTTATGCTGCTTTCTTTTTTTTTGGGAATTGTATAGCGACTATGGTAATGAACATCTTTTTTAACGCAATTGAACTATTGTCTCATCAATATCGTTACCAGTCAGATGCGTCCATTTATGAAGACTAACACCGACCCCTAGGATGATGGCTGATCCCCTGGTCATTGCAGGGTACAGATTCCCACGGAGAGTCACGCTATCCAATATTTTGAGCTCAACCTTTTCGGAGCACATAATTACCGTCTGGAATCTTCAATATCAGGGTCCCACAAACGAGGCCGATTGAAAGCAAATCAAACGTAATAAATTTCCTGGAGATAATATTACATTACACACGGACGTTTTGCTCTAGCTTACCTAGGTGTATGCAAGACGTGATGTCCCTCAATACTGATCTGTCTGTGCTGGAGGTGTAAGTAAAGCCAGAAGACCCAAGGAGCGGGGATTTAGACCGGCGTTCCTCTTTATAAGTTTTGCTTGGCCTGGAATGAACTTCAAACTGCATTGTTACCTCCAATCTGGAAGAATGTCATGAAGCGCTGTAGTTGCAATTGGTACAGCAACGGACAGAACGAAGTCCTTTGACAAGGGAATTCTTTTGGCGGCCTGAATTTTCAAATTTTACCGACAAGGTTGTCCAATAACCATGCAATCCATATCATGAAAGCTCGAAGATGAACCAATGAAGAACAAACCTCTGCAGATTCGTCGTATAGCACTTTGGCAATTTGAAGCAGGGGTATTTGCCGGCTAACAAAATGGGACCGAGACTTCATCCTTCGTGATTCCAACGCACGCATCTACGCTGCAAACAAAGAGCCAGAATCCTCATCCCCCCAATTATATACTCTCCCCAGCAGAGGTGTGGTCTGTGAGGTCCTTCAAAGTGTTCTAAGACTGGTTAACTTTGCGTGAACGCAGGTCCATTTCGCGCTGGTACAAACCTGAAGCTCATGGCCTGGACCACCTCAACCGCCTAGCGACGATCTACCAGACGGCCTTTACCATCCCAAGGACCTGATACTTTTCTTGAGATCCAAAATAACCAAGACTGGGAAACGGCTGAGCAGGAAGCTCGAAATTTGCAACATGCTACAGGTAGTAATGGTCTCCACCGATCTACAAGGACACCACGACCAATTGGGAGCGGCAGCGGTAGCTTTGGACTACATCTCGGACTCACAGCAGGTCTGTGTCGGTCTATGGAACACTAGTCTATTTTTGCAACACAGCTCATTGGAAATTTCATGCAGTCAGCTGGCCCTAACAACTGTTTCACAAAGACCAACATAATCAGCAATCAGCCTTCGTCTCCTCCAACAGCATGTAAGGAGTACAGGCAATCAAGGATCTGGCCAGCAAATCGACGCGATTTCTTCATTTATTAGATTATGTAAATCAACATGCAGAAATTTCATGACCTGTAGGGGAAAGAATAGCCGGCCGCCAAACTTCACCATTAGTTCTCTCCACACGTTAACTTATACTACTTTGGAAGGCAACCGCTATGATATTATCAGGTTATACTTGAGGCTCATAATACTAGTCAGCTAGCTTTCCTGACATACTGTTGTTTACCTCATCGCTTCATCTTTTCTTGGGGGCTTGCTCGGCAATCGTGGTTTCTCGTGAGCTTTTGGCGTGTCAGAATGAGTTTGCCTAACGTTACTATAACTTTGCATCTGTATATTCCTTATTTTCATGCTATGTTCGCTATTTGCCTCCTATTATGTACAGAATTTTTGATTAATGTCACGGTGGGGTCAAGTATTCTTGCTACTAGTGGTTGATTACACGGACATCTCTGATCCAATATTCCAGACCTTGTCAAGAGTATGGTACTCTATTCCGTAGGGCTAGAAGAATGCTAGGAAATAATGTCTATATCAATTAATAAGGACGAAGAAAAAGTACATACGACCATAGGGTTGGAAAATAGGGCTTCCTGTCCGCTCAGCCGTACTCAAGCCACATGCCGGGAGGTTAGTAGTTGGGTGGGTGACCACCAGCGAATCCCTTCTGTTGTATGTAAACTTTTTTTTGTTTTTTCTTTGTCCTTTCTTGCACTTATCTTTACTCCTTCACCCAAAGTCCAGGTTCCCCTCAATCCCCCCAATCTATTCTGCACCTACTACCCTCGCTGAAGCTGGAGAGCTGACGTGAACTCCAAAGGAGGTCCGGGAAAGAAAGTGATGCTGAGCGATAACGGTTAAATCATTCACCAGGCTCTTTTTTGCCTTTATGCCAGAGGTACCAATCTACTCTAGAGTCAAAGAGTAAGCTTGATCCCTCCGCGACAGTCCATTTCCCTCGCTAGCGGGCCCCCTTCTATGTTGACTTATATTCGCATTCGACTATTTACCGGAATGATTCTTTGAATAAGGGGATAGATCGAACAATCACCAAGTTACGATGTTAGCTTTGAAGAACAACAAAGGCTCTCAGAAGCAGCAAAGTACCGCTATGTAGAGGCTCAATAGCGATGCCAACCCCACACGCTGTTTGCCCTTTTGATCACTGCCTCATCTGTTTCACGCAATTTAAGTCGAGACGGATGCGGCCCTATTTCCATAGTTAACTTTTCATTCCCTGAATTTAGAGCCCCGCAGAGGCCTGTGGTAACCTTTTTACCTGGTCTTCAGGCTTTGTGATGAGAAAGTTGCTGAAGTGACACTTGCCCGGGCCTTCTGGACCTGCTATGGTATTTGATTGAGGGACACTGTAATATGTACATTGAAGGGTACTTACTGTGTGTTCGTATGTCAGTTTATATATCGGTACGGGCTTCTATACTAATATCCTCCAAAACCCACAGCGAATCACTGTGGATTAGTTTGTAGGAGATCTGTGAGCCGATCTTATCTCTGCTTCTCAGGCAGCTCGGTGTTATTGGTTCCCTCCAGACCAAAGATAAGAATAAAAATAAAAATAACCATAGGATGGTGGGAGCCTCATTTCGGACGCCTCAGGAGGGCTACACGCAACAGTAGTACATATATGGCCCGCACATGTTAGTATTACGTTGTACGTAGAATATGATGATGATTGATTGCAAAACGAGGGGAGGACTTCGCAACTAACAAGACGATACTACACAAAGCGGAACATGTTAGGCAGAATAGATGACGTTCGACCACAGCAGGGTTTAACCATATAGCCGCGCAACAGTCAGGTAACGGCTGCGAAATGCCCAACAAGTTCCATGTGGTATATACATTCTGGTTGCAAACCCCTTAACCGTCTCCGTCATTCTCTTACTGCAGTGGCTGTTAGGTGCCACGGAGTTAACGGACAAGAGAGTACACGACGGAGTTAAGAATGTAGTAATCCCCGTCTCAGATCTAATAAAAACACGGCAAACGCAGCTTCTAAGCGTAGCTCCCAACCACACCAATACTCTCACCTCAATCTTATAGCTGGAACTATATCTCAGGGTTACTTCTCAAAATGAATATATCGGCTCAGGATCCTTCCCTACGCGAGACGAATTGGCCTGCTGTGGCTAGCTATGTCGCCGCGCGCAAGGACACTTATCCGTTCATCGATCCCGCCAAAGCCGACCTGACGGGCAAGTCGGTCTTGATTACAGGCGCCTCCAAGGGCATTGGTAAGGCCACTGCGATCAGCTTCGCCATCGCAGGCTGCTCAAAGATACTACTGGCCGCTCGTTCGGACCTGGCCGACGTCGAGACAGCCGTCCACGACGCCGCTATAAAGGCAAACCGGCCCCAGCCATTAGTGCATTCCCTGAAGGTGGACGTAACCTCGGAGGACTCTGTACGAGCGGCCGCTGAGACCGCGGCAGACATGCTCGGCGGCAGCCTCGATGTCCTGATGAATAACGCCGGCTACTTGGAGGAGTGGAAACCTATCGCCGAGTCCGAGCCGAGCGAGTGGTGGCGGACTTGGGAGGTCAACATCAAAGGCACCTATCTCGCCGCCCACTTCTTCCTACCGCTTCTGCTTAAGTCGCAGACCAAGACCATCATCAACATCAGCAGCGGTGGTGCCCACGTTATGTTTCCCGGTGCGTCGGCCTACCAGACGACCAAGTTCGCCCTCTGCCGCCTCACCGAATTCATGGACAATGAATACTACCAGCAAGGTTTGATCGCCATCTCGCTCCACCCGGGCGCCGTGAAGACCGAGCTGGCCATGAACATGCCACCAGAGAGGCAAGTCGTCCTGACCGATACGCCGGAGCTGGCTGCCGACACGCTGGTCTGGCTCGCCCGTGAGCGACGCGACTGGCTCGCTGGCCGATTCGCCTCGGTGAGCTGGGACATGGAGGAGCTGGAGCAGAAGAAGCAGGACATTCTCCAAAGGAACTTATTCAAGTTCCGCGTGGTGATCTGAGTCGGGCGGTGCACCCTCTAAGTAGTAGTCTAAATATATTCGTTGATTACGACCATTCTTTCATTACATGATACGTCCGAAGTTATATATCGTGTGGATCAGATATTGCTACTTTATCTTTCTCTGATCTTCTTTCACATACTCTGATGTGTATATAAGAACTGAATTACTTACATCTGAGTTCTCGGCATGCAGTGGACTCATATCTCTCCGTTCTCGCTGATGTAAAATAGTATAATAGTAAGTAGACGCTAGGTTGAATCTATGGTTAGTCAAGATATTTTCCACGATAGTCTTTGGAGTAGTAGCACTAGAGTTGTGTAAGCAGATTCATTAGATTGTTAGGTGGAACACTCTCTTTGCTCATTTCATCCTCACATAGATCAACAGTATCCTTGAGATCTTTCTTTCTTTTCACCCCTTGGACTGGTCTACCAAGCAGTATTAATATTAGAAGGTCTGTCTGAGGTGGAAGAGGTCAGGTATATTACCTCGGATGGAGAAGAAGAACATAAAAAAAAAAAAAAAAAAAAAAAAAAAAAACTCTAATATTGTCATGGAAAGTTGTTATTCAGAATTGAGAAACACAAAATAAAAAGGTTTATTAAATGTATGAAACCTGTCATAACTTTACAATGACGACCACATAGGTTCTCTCCATTCTTCCTCCTAACTTGCTGTCCGCAGCAGTTACAGCAATCTTTATTCCCTCAAACGGTACTATATAGTGGAACCCCTTCAGCTTAAGGTAAGCCTTCTGGGCTTTACCAGAGGCGTAACTCTAATAACCCAAACTTGGCGACATTCCCACCTGTAGTCCAGGGTTTATTGGCTGCCGGTCACAGAGAAACCTATAGCAACACGGTATTCGATGCATGAGCCGAATGTCACCATCTGTGGCTATACCATATCCTAAAAGATATAGAGTAGTTTCTATCTGATTGCTTGGTCAAGGCCCCAATGTAGCAGATAATAGGCCCGCCGCATATACCCAATCACTGAACAAGCCTCCCAGTCTGCGGATCAATTTTCTGTCGCCCTTTAAAATCCACTCTCAAGGACTTGGTACCGCTTTGTATCAACTGCTGAAACCAGTCCGGAGCTCCTCGCTGTATAGCTTCAGTCAATATATATTCTTTCTTAGCCAGGTGAAGTCAGTTTTACTCACCAAGCCGGCAAAATAGCGAAAAATTCCTGGAATATAGACTGTCTGGCTCAAGCCACTGTCGAGTATATCCACGATAGCATCTACGACAGTGTCGACATGAAGAAGAGGCATCAGAAATCTAGACTGGTTCGTCTCGCCTTTGAATAGTGGTGTTTTGGTGAAGCTCAGCACAGCAAGCGAGGTGCGGACCTTTGGTGCGTTCTGGGCTCGGAGCTCTTGGGCAAGACACTAGTTGAACCAGAGGCGACAGATGATCAATATCTCGCAGACTCGGAAGGGAAACAGAAGACAGTGGACTAATGTACCTCATGAAATGCAATCAATCCAGCTTTCGACGCTGCGTAATCAGCAAGCCCTGGCGGCGGAATATAAGCGCTAACCGAGGCCACATTAAAAATGTGTCCATGGTTTCGTCGGATCATAGCCAGTAGAAATTCCTTAGACAGAAGAAATGGGGCCAGCAAGTTCGTTTTCAGGGTTATGCTGTTGTCGCTGTAGGTACCCTCGGCGACTGTTCGCCCGCGTGACAGACCGGCATTATTCACTGCATGGAAATTCGGTTAACTAGACAATTCTTGAATAGAGTTGCTGCTAAACTTCACTTACCTAGCACAGATGGATCACCAATATCGGCTTTGATCTTTTCGCACACACTTGCAATCTCTTTCTCATCGCTCAGGTCACACTTGTGGTACAGGATGCGATCATTCTCTGCGTTACGGGTTATTAACGATGTTCTTGTGCGAAAAAGAGCTGCCGACTAAAGGTTACTCAGAGTACCAACCAGGCTTGTACGTCAATGGGATGATGTCCAATACGACAACGCGTGAGCCCAATGCAGCTAGACGTTGAGCAACCCCTGCTCCAATACCGCCGCTTCCTCCGGTCACGACGACCAGCTCTTTTTTCCAGTCCCAGGTATGATCTGTAACCCAATTGTTCAGACACTTGGAAGTTAACCACTCGTTAAGCCACAGGAGGACACTGGCTGTTGCGGTAATACGGATAAGTTGTTCGTATGGGGCCAGAAAGCTGAATTTTGTCGCCAGGTATAGTCCCAGCACCGTGGTGAGTGGACGAAAGATTGTCTTCCGTAACCCAACTATTATCGGATCAATGTAAAGGCCTTCACGAGGAAGGAAGCCGGGTTTAGCCATTGTCGTCACGTTTTAGTTTGGAGGGGAAGGTAAAAGAGAAGCCGCACGATTATATAATGAATGGAGCTTAAAACTGCCCGGGTAGCCTTATACAATCTTGATATCTATTGGGATTGAGTCAATACCAAGTAGGTAGACTGTCACTTTCACCCCGCATGTCCGGGTAGATTCCAGGTTCGTGATTGTTCCGGGATGGACCCGGATCGGATCCATCCGCCTGGCGGTTGCCCGTGCCTCCTCATCATAGGCAGAGGCATTCCGAATGGAATAGCTAAACTTGAAGATTGAGCGATGGTTGTGGTATGGAGGCTTACAGACACATCTCATTGTTGAGACCCTATGTTACATGAAGATTCGGAACGGTGCCAGAGACCTCCACGAGGGCCTGGGGCATCTCGACAGTCAATCATGCAGCTTGTCCAATTGAGACTCCCAATCACAAGCAGGTGAATCCGAGGTAAGTCATACGGTTAACGCGGAAGGCACCGTATGCATTACACAATACCATTTTCGGTGAGAGCAAGTAACAACCTTCTAGAACGTATCCGGCCTATTCTTTTTCTTTGTGCTGGAACACTGACGGTTTTCTAGATACTCAATTTCCAGTTTGTAGATATCTTGAGACACTAAAGACATAACTACAACGGAGTGTGGATGACAAATCCAAGTTATTGAACTCATAAATAGCATTCTGTGACATTACGCCGATATATAATTGGGTAACAAAAACAATTGATGTGGACAGATACAAAATATTAAATAGCTCGACGGACACCAAAACCGGACAAACTGCATCAAGACGCAAACAGATTGATCTCTGCTCCCTTCTTCCCGAACTATTTCGGCGAGTCTACTTGGTTAACATGCTGGATTGTACACTGGCCAAGTACCTTTTGACAAGTTCGGATGACAGATTTCCAGCGTAAGCAAGCTGTGCGATCCCGAAAATTCCGATACAAAGAGCAAAAAACAAGGCCCTGGGCGATAAATGTTGTGATGGCTTTATAGTCTTCTGCTGACAGCTGTCAATATGATACTCACTGCTTCAATCGAATTGGGTCGAACAAAAGGCAAGAAAATGAATTTGAACGCGCAAACCCACCTTGATATTCCAATCGGACCATGTGGGAAACAGACTCATCCACCAGTAGTGACCTTGGGTCCAGGGATAGGACATGGAGTTCCATTTCTTGTCATTAAGGTACCACTGTAATTTCAATTAGATGGTCACGAAGCTAAATGAAAGACATATCTCACTTACTGATACGCAGCCTGCGTTCCAGACGCGCTTATTCAATGCGTCCTGTACCCAGTAAACGTAGTCATGCTCGGCTTTGGGCTTAAGTTCGACTGATGAGGCGTCACCGTTCAGAACGGGTTTCAGAATACGGAGAGCGTAGTTGATCGAGCTAGTGTTGATAGATAGAGGCTTGTCCGGAAGATAGGAAAGGAAAGCGGGACAGGACGGGGGGAAACTGGGTTAGAGGTCATGTTAAACCTACTTCTCAGCAGCCATCATCGCTGATGTGTGTCCGGTTGCAGCATTGGGTCCGAGGAGCATGAAGAAGTTGGGAAAGCCACTCAGAACCGAGCAGTTGTAGGCAGCTGGGCCATCGTACTTAGTCCAGTGCTGTGATACACTCTCACCGTTCCGCCCGACCACATCCATGTATGGGATGAATTTGTTAGTCCTGAAGCCTGTTGCAAGAACAATCACGTCCGCCGGAATGAAGCCTTTGTCTGTCTCGAGGCCTTGTGCAGTGATCCTACCGATCTTTGCGTCAGTTAAGAGGACTTTGTCACTGTGTAGGCTTTCAAGGTATCCAGGGTCAAAGATTCGTCTCTTTTCAGTTGATAATATTAGCGTAATTCTCTCGACATTTGCGCGTCAATCATAGAAGGAACAGGGAACGGGGAAAATCATACCTTGCATCCTACATCAAAGTCCGGAATCAAGAGATCATGGTATTTCTTCGGACCTGCCTCTCGCATGTATTTCTCTACTTTCATGCGCCGCTTCTCTCGAAGTCTGGCTGCCCCCTTCGTCATCGGAAACAAGCGAAAATCATTCTCAGCAATCACGAAGATGTGAAATCGGTGCAGCTTCATGGCTAAAGGAACGTAGCGGAAGATCCATTGCAGAAGCCGAGGATAGGAGAAGTTTGGGGCTGGGAATATCCAGTGCTTCGTTCGGACAATCTGTGTGAGGGATTTAATCTTTCCCTCGTTGACTAGAGCTGGGACGATCTGTGCAGCAGTACCTGAAGAGGGTCAGACTGACCCTTTGAAAACGAGGAGAAAACGACAGTAGTTTCATACAGCCATTCCCAATCACAACGACATTCTTCCCTTCGAGATCGACGCTATGATCCCACCGCGCCGAATGAAATATACTCCCGCCGAAGTCTGAAGCACCGGGGATATCACATGGCCGCGGCTCGACAAGCTGTCCTGTTGCTGCAAAGAGGATCTGGCACTCGTGTGTGTATTGGTGTCCCGTTTCCAGTTCGCGTAGGTATAGAATCCAGCGATTTGCATCTTCCCGCCAAACACTACGGACTACTTCCGTGCCAAAGGTCATCGCTCGACGAAGATTGTATGTATCAACCACGTTGTCAACGTACTCTTTGATCTCGGTATTCGAAGGCATAAGCTTCGTCCAGTTCGGGTTCAGTGCAAAGGAAAAGCTGTACAATGCGCTAGGCACATCGCAGCCGCATCCTGCATTGAGTAAGTCGAAGTAATGATGGACAATAACCAGACTGCCCGAACGAACCTGGATATGTGTTGATGTACCAGGTTCCACCACTCGTGGGATGTCGTTCGAAGAAGCGGATGTCTTCAAGGTCGTACCATCTCTTCAGCGTTGCTCCTAGAGCCACGGCTGACAGGCCGGTGCCAACACAGGCTACCTGGCTATAGGATGGAATATCGGTCTTTGCAGTCATGTTGAGAAAATCATAAGATTGATTCTATGCATGTTTTTCTCTCGAGTGTTCTTGTCTTAATTAATACCGCGTAGGATCTAGTATGAATCCTGAGGAGAAACCCACTGCATAGGAACCAGCTCATACCGGAACTGTCCCGCAGGCATAGATTCACCCGAGGTAGGGTATGACATGTGCAAGACAAAGTGCGGAGGCATCCCTGAAATGGGGTAAAGTTGAGAAATGCGGCACGTGGGGTCTGCTAGTGATGAAATTAGTCGTGTGTCAGAGGCCTCCACCAATCTATTCATGGTTCGGGTCAGTCCCGGGTCGTGGGGTTTGGGGGTAGATGATCATTTCCAGTAGTAGCCAGTGATGCATTTTGCATCCCGGAGATGCTCCGCCTGTGTTGATTAGAGGTCATAGTGCTGCAACTGATGGGTCCAGCCGTTACCCATCTTTTTAGATCAATTATTCGAGGACTATTGCATGTTCTAATTCATGAAATTCCGGAAGTCCACGCCGGCCCTATAGAGCCCAAAGTACCCACAGACAACTGACCCGCGAGTACATCTTGCCTTGTCCAAATTAAGTTGCTTAACTACATTCAAAGATGAATTAATTCACAAAATTTTGTCTACAGACTGACTTAACGGAAGCTAACGGAAGCTCTCCAGTGTCAAGGTAAAGTATCAGGAAAATCAAGCCTCGTCAAAAACCCCAAATCATCAAACCCCTGTCCCATACTTCCGGCGTATTCCTCCCAATTGAAGAATGGAGCTTGCGTTAAGTCGTGATCCGGGTGATCAAACGGGGTGTAATGTTGAGTCATGTTATCTGGATGCAGCGAAGCAGCACCAGCAGTCTGACTGCCTGTTTGTTGCATATCAGCGGGCACAGCTTGCCGATACAAAGCTTTGAGGAACTGAAGCGTGTTGTTCGCGGAGCGTTTAACTGTTGCCATTGATTCTAGAACGCTTGTAGCTTCTCTCCGGCAGCTCGGGCTTTATCCATAGTACATGAATCGAGCATTGATGGGGAGGAGAAAGACATGAGGAGCACTATGGCGGCCGTTGACACATCTAAACCCAGATTATCAGTACGGGTGGGAAGGTAGATAATAATTGGCAAGCGAGGGCGGCATACAGAATCCGTTGTACCACCATGCATCGGTGGCGTTTGTATGGTACGTCTCATGGACTAGGTGCGTCAGGTCAATGGCTGCCATTACGCAAGCGGTGGCGGATTTATTAGCTGTGGAGAAGTACAGAGTGCTCCGGGTTGCGGAACTGTGAGCGGTCCATTCTTCTCTTATGCCATTTCCACCTACAAAGTCGCTTTTGCGTACTTTTTCTGCGTAGAGCTGAGTAAACATCGGACGGTGGAGGAGGAGGTGAAGATGCAAGTATCTGCATATGTGGGTGAGGGATAGCCACCTAGATAGCAACCGGATTGAGAAGAAACGCACCTCGCGTGGAGAACATTTCTCTGTTGGGCGATTGCCTGGTTCAGCTTACCGTCTGAATTGAATTCCGGTGCGTCCGGGTCCCACTTAAGGCATGGAGGAGTACTAGCCTCAAACAAAGTGAGTTCTCTTTCAATTTCAAGGATTGTGTCTAGGCCTCCCAAGATCTTGGTTGACGCCTGTGGTCGATCTTGGCGTGTCCGACTACACCAGGCACAATATACATCGGATAAAATCTTGTCTAAGATGCTGTAGAGTTTAATAGCCTCGATATAAAACGACAGCAGTGACGGTTCTCCCGGCGGATCTTGTCGGGGCATCTCGGAGTCATCTGGTGGGGGAAGAGGAGCTAGATGAGTCGTCATAGTAGGTCTGCCATGCGTCATGCTCAGAGTACTGTGGCAGAAATTAGCACGACCTAGTATGTAACCACTAATACTGGCAGGACTTACACATCCATCATCACACAGCCGTGCCACGTTCGGCGTCGAATATCAGATTCCAAGGGCGATAAGCTGGTGAGGATATCCGACTCATGGAGTCCTAAACCCAGGGCAACCCTGCAAGCAACAACAACGGAATGCCAACATCGGCTGGGATAGGGAGAGCTCTGCAAGAATAGCGCTGTTATCAACAGAGTCTGAACTACACCAAGGGTATTAATATCAAGAAAGTCAAGTCCAATAAAGCGCTTGCACCTAAGGAAGAAGGAATTTGCAACAGATTCGACTTCCTCGATATCTACAAATTGACATCCCAGAGCAAAAATAGCATTCAAGGCAGCATGGAAAACGATTGATTTAGGGCTGGATTCTGCGCCGGAACCCAGTCCAATTCTCAAGTCTGTGAGAGGTATCTTAGGCTCATCCTCAGCACGCCAGAGATTCCGATAGGCTGCTTCAAACGCAGGGCGGTGAAAGAACGGATATAGGGTATATACATGATCGAAAAAGCAGCGGACGAGGTGGTCTGCCAGCGTGCGCGGTAGAAGGGCAAAATCGTCGAACCGATACTCGGTGAAAGTATCATGCAGCGTGCTAGAAGCAAGCTCGGCACCAGAAGAATTTGCTGGCCGTGAAGGCAGCGACTGCCAGGCAAACCTCATGAGTGAAGCAGTGGATGAACTACCATAAAATTGAAATCGGGAGGATTGTTTCCTGCTTTCAGCATCTGGAGCTGTGATCTGGCCCATTCCAGTGACGTGGGCTTCTCCATCGGCGAACAACGGCGATCCATAAGATCCTACATCCGGTGAACACTCTGTAGTCTCTTCTACTGCCAATCTGGACCGGCTGTTTGCGCTTTCACTGCGTGTGGCTAGTACCGGTTGGTCCGGTCGTCCGCCAACCCTGAAACCTGTGGAGGTAGTGGTTCGCTCCTCAAGTTCCCCAAACGGGGTGGGGGCAGCCATGATAAGGCCTTCCGTCTCCACTGGTATTTCATTGCCTCTGTTGAGCTCGCTATGGGATTCCTGTTGGGCCCGAAGGCCCAGTGGACTGTCGATGGACACTCCGGCCATCAAACAGGCATTTTCCAGTTCTCTAATTCGAAGATGAAGGGTCTGAAAGTATCTGCTTTGCGTTAGGATTATCTCACGCATCATGCCTGTGATCCCGGTTGTTGGATAAACTCATTCATGAAACTCACTCGTCTCTGCTGGCGGTCCGGGCGTTATCCGGGTTGTAGAGGCACTGGTCAATCCGATAAGATCTCCTCCTGCATGCCCCACATATGGGCTTATTCCCGTCACAGCGAATTTTCTTCTCTCTACACGAGTCGCAGGCCAAAACAACCTTGCGGCGTGCACCTGTCCGTCGCTTAGGGTCGCCAGTTACTTTCGGGGGCATTCTGTGAAGACGGGTGACACCCAGTGCTGTGGAGCAGCCCCTGGGAAGGCTGTATGGATAAAATCACGGTACGGAGTCTATTTTCTCTGGAGAGCACGAGCAATGAGTTGCAAGTTCCAACTGGGGCGTGTGAGGAGTAGCAACTCGTTTATCAAGCCGGGATCGTTCCGGTTCCACTTGCGGACCGGGGGGCTCTTCAAAGACCAATAGCAAGTTACAATGGCCAAGATCGCCAGTTCCTAGGACCGGCAGCATTCCGGGGGTTTTCGGGTCTGTTCCAGAGACATGCTAACCAAACTGGATCCACGTCCGAATCTCTCGTGCGTTCTATTATGGGGTTATATGCAACTTCCAGACACGTAGATAATGCTTTTTTTCTACTACTCTCGAATGTCATCAAACTTAGTTTTCCAGAGACAGCGGTAAGCGAAAGCTTCAAGTAAAAATGACACGCAACCTTGCAAAAGTACGCTTTCTTTTGACCCTCGTTCTCTGTGTCCTGCCACGGGCAGCTATCAGAATATCGGCGGCTATTTTTCGTGCGTTCTGGAAGGGATTGCCGCTAGGATCGTCCATGTGGAATGGGTTTGCTGGCGCCCTGATCACCAACACACCCCCAGACCAGTTGCAAGCAGTCCTGCCATCTACGCTAAAGACATACGAATCATGGGTTCTATCTCGTGGGGTTAGTCGTGCGGTGGATGTCTTAGCAGCGGACAATAGCACTCGTCTGCTTTGGATAGGGCCAAGTATATCGGCGAAGGTACTTCTTTTCTTTCACGGTATGCTATTCCATTCATAACGCTGCGTTTCCAGGAAACGATTGCTGAGTGTTGACTAGGTGGCGGATACGTGCTGCCACTTTCTGAAGCGCACCTAGACTGGATGGCATATCTACGGAACGAGGCAGCCAACGCTGGGGTGGATATGAGTGTGTGCATTCTGGAATATGGTTCGTTTTGATCATCGGGGAAGATGTTGCGCGCGTGCTGACATTTCAGACTTGATACCAACCAACCCATATCCCAGACAGTTGAAACAGGCAATCTTCGCAATACAGCGCCTATTGGTTTCCGGGTATAGACCTTCTGATGTAGGTTGGCTTGCAAGTGGATCCTCTTGGGCCAAAGAACTAATATGAGCTCGCACAGATTGTCTTCGGAGGAGACTCCGCTGGAGGCCACCTGTCGCTTTCCCTCATGGCCCATCTCCACCGTCACTATCAATCCAATGAGGTGAAAAAGAATCTCATTCACCTACAGAGCCCTGTTAAGGGATGTTTCCTTGTATCACCGCTATCATCCTTCGACTTCAGTACACCTTCCTACCAAAGGTGGTTCAGTGCCGATATTCTTACTCGCAAAGTTGTAGATGAATGGGGACGCTATCTTGTCAATAACTCTCCCTGGCACGAAGAGATTTCTGCTGGATATGGCTGGGGAATGGCCCTGGATGTTCCAGATAGCTGGTGGGATGGTTTTACGGCTGTAGATAGTATCCTTGTGACCGGCGGCTACGAAGAGGTGTTCAGCGATCATATTCAGCTGTTGGGTGAGACTTTGAAGACAAAATGTAAGGGCAACGTGGCCCTGCACATGAGTAATGAAACCCACGACGGACCGCTTATGGACTTTGAGGCTAGAAGACCGCCCAGTGAGACTACAAGGGCCATCAGAGATTTTATTATAGCTTGCTTTAAGGATTAAAATATATCATGCATTTTCACGCTTGTATTTAAAGTATGAGCTTCTACACTCGACGTTTGGCGTCCTCCAAAACCTGCAGTGATTCTCCTTCGCGCAAGATCAAATTAACGTGGTCCTCGCTTCTTGGGGTTACCTTTACTGGGAAAGGTTCATCAGTTTTGTGATGATTCAGTCGTTTTGGGTTATATGGTCCCGCCTGCCAAATGTCAGCGTTATCATTGATTCCTCACCAATACTTTCTAGCCACTTACTGCTGCATAATTGTAACATAATACTAAGCGTGCCACATTGATGAACAGTCCTCTGAATGCCAGCCTGTAACCAACGCAAATTCGGCGGCCTCCGCCAAATTGCCACAGGCCATGTGCAGCGTCAGTTTCATGTCCATCAAGCCACCGCTCAGGCTTGAATTCCTCCGGGTCTTCGCATTCGTTGCACACTGGGACCTCGTTGATCACGAAGCCAACGCCCGCCGGAAAGTGATAGCCCTCGAACTCCATGTCAGATGTAAGCACATGATCTGGGGTCAGAACGAAAATTGGCCTCCATCGCAGGAGTTCCTTGATCAGAGCGCAGATGTAGGGCATATGCTCAAGGTCCTCAATCCCTGGCAGACGGAGACCCCCTTCGGTGCAACACAATCGGTCAACTTCTTCCCTGGCCTTCTGGAAAACTCTCGGATAACAAAGAGCTGCCATCACGAAGATGTTCAATACTTCTCGAGTTGTGTCGGATCCGGCCTCGAGAAGCTGCATTGCCACGTACATGGCCTCCTGGTCGTCCCCAGTAAACTTGGTGTCTGGGTGCAAAAGGACATCACGAACCCATGATGGGGGCGCTGTTCCTTGCTCTACCTTATCTCTTACTGGAATCCACCATGATTTGTAGACCTCTTCGTTCCAATTACCGAGTTTCTCCCAGTGCTTCCGCCATGGCTGCAAAGCTCGCGGGAGACGATCCAATTCGGGAAACCAGTCGATCAGACTGGATCCGATGCTACCCACAAAATATGTAACAACATTTTGTAGGTCCTCGAGCTCTTTACCTGATTTGACCAGCCGCTCCCCAAGCGCGATGCGGTGGACCACGGAATTCGCGTATCGATAATGATGGCGGTACCATCGCTCCGGTTGGAACAAATACTCAGCAAGCAGCTGGGTACTTTCCAATTCCTGCCATGATGCATATTGTTTTAACGCGGTTCCACTGAGAAGCGAGTGCATCACTCGCCGTTTCTCCGTCCATCCCGAGGGAGGCAGCAGAAGAGAGCGTCCGTTACGGCTAACAATGCCACTAGCAATGGGCATAGGGCTTCGGCCATTCGTTAGTGTGCCGCGTTTTGCGATGATTTCCGAGACCACCCGCTTGCTATTGAGCAAGATCCATGTTTTTGATCCGAGGTGCAGAGTAGTCATCTCGCCATATTTCGCGAGATCGTTGTTCTGTTCGCAGTCAGTTTCCATGACTAGCAATTCTCAGGCGTCTTACATACTATTATATGATCTTGGTCATCCCGAACCTTGCGAACGTCTAACAGGCTTCCAAATATCGGTATTCCTCGAGGGCCAGGAGGGAGCTTGCATCTCTTGCCAGGGGGAGGTCTGCGTTTCCCAACCGGAGTAAAAATCTCTCGGATGACGAGGAATATCGTTGCCAGAAATGCTGCTATGGTCACGAGGGTTGCCGAGAATGGATATTCTCTAGCAATCCCAGATATCTGGGCGTGAACTGACTTGCTCATGGTACCTTGCGTAGGATGGTCAAGACAATGTAGGGATATTCAGTTCCTAGGCTTTTGAAATACTCATTCACTGGTAATGCCAATGACGAAATTTGCTGCTTCGTCTCTCTTTATCCCGGCCATAATTTGGCTTCTGCTACGGAATATCCGGCCCTGTGATGATGAGTTTCGGAAAGAACCCGATGTGGATACTCGCTTCCGGAACTGTCCCGGGTCCTTATGGGGCGTTATTAAAGTAGCGGCAGTACTACAAACTATTTTGCGGCATGATGCCCCCGATGTCCCTTATTTTGGCTTCCATCATACTCATCCTGACCTTATTTTTGTTCCAGCCTAGCCTCTGTGGCATCATGGTTGAGCACGTTCTCGACTGGCTCCGGGACAAAGCCGTGGGATGGAGTCACACGCCGCCAGTGAACAAGATCGATACTCACCATCATATCGTTCCACCATTCTATGCAAAGGGTAACAGTCGCTCTCGGTCGAAGTCTATGAACCCGCTCAGCTAACCCGACTACAGCCGTGGAACAACAAGGGGGCGACCCCAGTGGCTGGCCCACTCCCAGCTGGAACCCTATAGCATCCAAACTGTTGATGAAGCGAGTTGGCGTGAAGACTGCGGTGCTTTCGGTGACAGCTCCAGGGGCATGCATTGCCCCTGACCGTCAATCACGCTCCCAACTGGCCCGACAAATGAATGAATATGCGGCAGACCTGCGAGACAAAGACCCCGACCACTTCGCCTTTTTCGTATCACTGCCCAATATACTCGACACTGAGGATGCGCTTGCAGAAATTGCTTATGGGCTGGATACCTTGCATGCGGATGGTGTCACTCTGTTTACGCGCTATGGCCCTTCCAATACCTATCTCGGTCACAGGGACGTGGAGCCTATCTGGGCCGAACTCAACAGACGAGGCTGTGTCGTCTTCATCCATCCCACCCATCCTGTCGACATCCGCCCTGTCAACCCAAAACTACCCCAGCCGGCTATCGACTATCCCCACGAGACGACCCGCACAGCAATGGATATGATCACCAGTGGAACCACACTGAAGTACCCAAACTGTAAAGTCATCCTGTCGCACGCAGGTGGGGCCTTGCCGTATCTCATCTCGCGGGTCACGACACCCATGAAAAGGGCCCCAGACGTTGCAGTCTCATATCGCATAGGAACCACTCATGACAAGGCGATGGAAGCATTCCGTAGCTTTTACTTTGACCTGGCGTTGAGTTCTTCGCCGCAGGTTCTGGATATGCTCTTGAAGATGGTTCCGCACGACCACATCTTGTATGGAAGCGATTTTCCATACGCACCGATAACTGCATACCCAGCGTTTTTAGAAGAGTTGGAGACCTATGACATGGATCAGGAGTTGCGGGACATGATCAATTTCAAGAATGCTTTGAGGCTTTTCCCGCGTTTGGCGAACCGGACTGGCCCGGCTATTTAGTTAGTGGCCAAATAAACTTTTATATTTTTAGTTCTTTGCTGTCGATATCCCATACGTTGTTGTAATCAAAACCTTGATTTTCAATGTTGAGGACTGCGTGGATCGCTGTATCGGCTATTCTAGTCATAATCAAACAAAGGTAGCCTTGGCCATGGCCGTTGTGTATCATTACAAGAGTCTCAGCAGTTGGTGTATACGGCTAATGAATTCTAAAAATTCGGCGAAGGATATAGACATGTATTCATGGCTGGCATTTATGAGCAGTCTAATAGTTGTAGTTCGTATTACTAAGGTCGACCACAAAATATGAATTTTTTCCAAAGTAGATATTCAATGCAACAACAAAATAAACTTTATTATGCGCATTATATGCGTGAAGCCAATTTTGAACCTGTACAGCAAAGAGACGTATGATCTGAGATACTCCTCAGGACCGTAGACACTATTCGGAGTATCACCAAGTACTTGTGGCGTGCCTGAACTGACCTGCCAAAAAAACTCGAAAAGGATGCCTCGGATTTGGTGCACAATTTGGCCACGAATCTGTTGGACTAGCTCATCCTTGGTAAGGGTAGAGATAGTCGGGTTAATGGTATGATAACAAAGAATGGCGGACGTCATAGCCTTCACAATGCTAGTATGAAGTTGAAGATTTGGTGGATTTACGGCATGACCTTACTTAGCAGAAGAATTAATTTGCTTCCCTGCTCCAGGGGGTTATATGATCCAACTTATCTGTTTTTTTATTTTGAATAAAACTTTTAGCATCACGCTCATTATATATTTAACTGATGCCCTTAATCCGTGTTATACTTCTGACAATCAGAGAAGTTTTAGAGCGGAGAGGCTTGGAAAGACCAAAGGATACTTGGGGCATTCAATAGCTGACTAGTTAGTTACCATAATGGCAATTTTTCGTAACTTGTCTGTACGACTTGACTAGGTAAACATGCTGGATTAAGTCTAACCCACTTACCGCCCTGCTGCAGCTGATGCGAGTCAGGGGCAAACAAAGACGGAATGCTGCTGCAGTCGTCCCCCTGTATTCGAAGTCAAGAGAGTCAACTCATCCTTCCTTTCGATAATTCTTTAACTCAATCCTCCAACTATGGTGAAACTGCGTTGTAATCTCAGGAACTTATTTCCATGCTTTAGCCATATGTCACAAGCTGGTATCTCTCGTTTACCTTATTTTTCACTGAGAACAGTGACTTCACAAGGGCTTCCTCTACGGCAGTTTCCTACTTCAGGCTACGTAACCTTAGATCCCGCCGATAAGATTGAGGAAGAGACTTTACCACTCTATAAACCGGAGAACTACTATCCGGTTTCTATTGGCGAAGTCTTCGGTTCCAGATACCAAGTGGTCTCAAAGCTGGGATATGGCACTTCCTCTACTATCTGGCTTTCCCGAGATCTTCAGTAAGGTTTTCGCTAGAGGAGTGCAATTCCATGTCTCTAATACTTTACAGAGAGGGGGGTTACTATACCCTGAAGCTATGTGCAAAGGGACAAAGCTCCGATCGAGAGATTACTATTTCTGCGCATTTGAAGCAATCCGTCAATGAGATTGGAAAAAGGATGCTTCGCATAGTCCTGGACTCCTTTGATGTTGTTGGACCACAAGGGAGCGTGTTTATCTGCTTGATATACCAGCCTCTTGGAATGAGTTTCACTGAGTTTCAAAACTTGCTCCCCACAGGGAAGTTCCCCAAGGAACTCATTCAAAGAAGCATCCAGCTTGTTTTGATAGCATTATCTTCTATGCATGAAAGCAATGTCGTCCATACTGGTATGGCTATAAAGCTGGGTGAAAAGAGTAATGGATGGAATCAGTGTAAGCTGATGATCATAGATCTTTCACCGAACAATATACTCCAAGGAGTGCAAGATATCTCCATCTTGTCCAAAATGGAGGAAGATGAAATAGAACGACCAATTGCCAGAAAGG